CTGGCTGCTCACTGTCTGTGCATGATGGTCCTTGGCAAAAAAAAACACTATTCTGTTGGCCCCTTAAGTGTGTTGGCCCGTCGGGTAAATGGGTTTCCAGTATGCCCGATTACCAGTCCAGCCCTGCTGCTGAGACCAGAATGGCTGTTCTTTTGGGGGAGGTTCTTGGAGATTTTCTTGACGTGTTGCTTTTTAGTCCACTCTTTAGTAAGTTTTCTTTATTTTGCCAATTTGTTTTTGTTTTTGATACCTGGGGTCCGTTTCAATAAGGAGGTTCAACCAACTCTGAGTTAAAACTTGAACTCTGAGTTGACTTACTCGGAGATGGGAAACTGAGTTTTCGGGTTCAGTAGGTTGAGTAGGTTCTCTGAGTACTCTGGGTACTAGGTACTCTGAGTAGGTTGACTCCTGAGTTTAGCGCGTGCACCACGACTATGAAAAGCCATGATCAATGGAGCTCAGGTGTTACGATTCACCATGGCAACAGCTCCCGCCAAAAAGACATCTGCATACTTCAGACGCAATACAAGTTTAATTCTTATCACTGTCATAATATCACAGGTGAAAACTGGCAGAACGGAAGGTTATTGAACTAATTGGCTATTCATTTTCATGGTATCTCACGGGGGAAAAAAAAGAAAAATGCACTTTAAATTATTATAATTTTTATTTTACAAATTACCTGCCAATAGGGTAAGAAAAATACGGCAGCGGCTATTTACACTAAGTGGAATTAACATACTTTCTTAGCGATAGATCCTATTTACAGTAGGCTAAGTGCAAATAGCTCTAGATGCTATTTACACTTAGTGAAAAAGTGATATATTCTATTTACCATGTAAAAAGTAGCAGTTCTTTGCAATAAGTGTAAATAATAATTAGATGCTATTTATACTTTATACTGGCAGACAAACTATTTGCACCTCAGTATTGTTGTACATTAACAATCATTTACACTGTTATTATTGCATCCTATTTATTAAAATTATAAATACTTTTATCATTATTAAACACTTGTTAGACACTTTACTTCCACTTTTAGAACATTTTCTTAATTTTTA